GTTGACCTCTTACCCCCCCCCCTCCCCTGCCTGTACTCTTGAATCCACTATAGCAGGGTGGACATTGCCCTCTAAAAATGCATGACCTCCTAGACCTCAGAATGTGAGCCAATTTGGAAACCAGGGTCTTTGCAGATATAATTAGTGAAGGATCAAGATCACCCTGAATTTTGTCCTCATTCCAATGACCTATGTCCTTAACAGAAGAGTTGCCACACACAAAAGAATACAGGGAAGCATGACAGGTGAAGACAGGGCAGGGAGTGGAGTAATAGAGCTACAAGCCAAAGCATATCAAGTATTGCAGAAATCAACAAAAGTTAGAAGAGACAAGGAAGGATTTTCCCCTAGGGCCTAGAGCTTTTAGAGGGAACAGGAACCTACTAACACCTTAGTGTTAGACTCTGGCCTCCAAAACCATGAGAGAATACATTTCTGTTGTTTTAAGCCACTAATTTAGGGCACATTTTTTTTTTTTTTACGCCAGTTCAGGAAACTAATAAACCTGCATACATCCACTTACACAAGGTGGAGATTTTACTGACTCAAAGTTTTGAACATGGCCTTTGATAAATCATTGGATGATCACTAAACTATGAAGACACCAAGACTACCCTAAAAACTAGCCTAAAAATTGAAAAATATAATTTAAAAAACTATGAGTACAGACATCACCAGTGTATACCGAGGAGAGAGGAAATGAATTTCATAGAATTAGTCCAAATAAGTTACTAAACATACAGCAACAACAATAACCTTCAAGAGAGAAATGTCAAAATCCAGAAACCACAGTTGCTCTGATACGTAATTTAAAATGTTCTGTTTTCATCAGGAAATCCAAAGACACATAAAGAAAAAGGAAAGTATGACCCATACTCAGGGGGGAAAAGCTATCAATCCCACTCCTAAGAGCTACTTAAGAGAAATGAAAACAGACGTCTATATAAAAACTTGCATATTCATAACAGCATGATTTATAATAGTCCTAAAAGTGGAAACAATGCAAATATCCATCACCTGGGGATAGATACCTACATATTCAGTGACATAAGATCAGAGAAGCTATTGATAGATGCTACAAATGGATGACTCTCAAAAGCATTTTGCTAAGTGAAAGAAGCAAGACACAAAATACTACCTATTATATAATCTCATTTATAAGAAATGTCCAGAAAAGGCAAATCTCAGGGGTTGCCTGAGACTGGCTATGAAAATGGGAATTAACTGCCAGTGGACACAAGGAAGCTTTTAGAACTAATGGAGATATTCTAAAGCTGGTTTGTGATAGATAATGGTTGCACAATGCTACAAAATTCCAAAGTACTAGTAAATTGTACACTTAGAATGAGTGAACGTTACAGAATGTAAATTACAACTCAATAAAGCTATTTTTTAAACAACAACAACAAAAAAACCCTCCATATATGACAATGGAAAAGGAGGGACAAAATAATATAAGTCTCAGTACAATGAAATGCTTTGGTTTTAAGTATAGAATAAGAGCTGTCGCCATCAAGAGAGATGTATAACAGAGTCAACTGAGAAAGCTTCACAGCTTTATTCTGAATCTTAAAAGATGGGGAAGATTTAAATTTCAAATCCTATTTTGAATTTCAAATCCATTGTTCTATTGCAGACAAAGGAAATATCACACAAAAAGACGAGAGAATGGATTGAGGGGGCAGGGGAGTACTTGGGAATGCACAAATAGTTACAACAGAACCCAGTTTGGAAGTGAGAGATAATGGGGCCAAAAGGAAGAGATTATAAGAGGGTCAGGAAACAGTTCTTTGTATCCACATGAACCCAGGAGGCCAAGGTTTGCCTTGTTTGTTACGGTGCACGTGGCAAATCAAAAGGCCTGTGAAGAGCTGCATTATCCACAAGTTGTAAAAATGTTCTGCGGCTTCATCAGTGGACAACATAAACAATCAATGTGTGGCTAGGTGTCTAAAATCAAACCGCACGACATCATGCAGTACTATGGGAATAAAAGATGCACTTGCCACACTATTAAATAATTAATTTTATTGTTATTTCTCATCCAAAAGCGAGACAAGTTAATGAATGCCACATTTTTTTAATGAGTTTTCTGCTCCAAGCATAACATTAAATGTTTTCTTTTCCTAACAGAAATCTTCTCAAAACCTATTCACATTTCATTGAATCTTACACAGCTTTGATTTTTAAAAAGGGCAGATTCTTTTCAGTTCAGCTAAATTGCTAAGATTGCTGAACCACAAGTCAACTCTGAGCCACCACACTTTTCAATTTTGAATAATTACTTTCCTGGCAATCAAAAACAAGCTGAGACAAAATTATTGTGTGGATGGGATTCAATTACTTGTGTCCCCATTGCATCCTATAATTCAAGACTGCCCAATGACATAACAAAAAGACAGTCCCAAGACCAGTATGTATGCAAAATAACACATAGCAAGGGAACACTCTCTCGTAACCTTTGACCTGGCATGTTAATCATAGAGTGTATATTGTCTCCCAGAAATCCATTCAGCTGAATCTTACTGTGGTGTTGTTGCTTTTGTATTTGTATGTACCATGCTTTCCAGCAGTCAAACAGACATTATATATTTTTTGTTTGTTTGTTTGTTTGTTTTTACAATAGTGATCTAAGACCCAGGAAGAGTTTCATTATGTTAATTCCAATTTTAGACCACAGCTAATTCCAGCAATTCTTCTAAATTAATAGTTGAAAGTTACACTTTTAAAAAATTAATGCATGTATCTATATCAACTATCATTACACCCATCATATGCAAATGTAGGAAGCTCTTTGCTACTGAGAATAGCTAACTGGAGCTAGATAGTACTAATCAAAGGCCCTGCACCTCCTCAGGAGCTGCCTCTGCTTTTGACCCTGCCCACAGCTGTAGGTGTGACCTTGAGAAGCCTCTACCTCTGGCCTCTGCTCATTGTCCTCATCTACAGAATGGAAGGAACACTCACATGCTACAAAAATAAGGCAAAAGTAAATTCTATTTCAGCCAAGTATATAAAATGGGGGAAATATTTCCAGCGTTATTAAGCATTCTTTTAATAAATTATACATATTTTTATAAAGTAAAATACAAAATAAAATTACCATTCAAGTGTTTGTCCTTTCTCATGTTGGAAAGTTTTAATATTTAATCCCTAAGTATGTATAGTTTCTCTTTAAGTATTTAAATTTTTTAAATTAATATTACTGTTTTCTTGATGAGGGAAAACAGAAAAGCCAAAAGCAACAACTCCATGCTAGCCTCCAACTCCTCCCTGAACCCCTAAGTCTGTATCACAATTATTCACTAAATATTTCTCTTAATTAGTGAAAACTCCATTACCTTCTAAAAAGAGTTTCTCAAGCAAGGAAATCACCAATAGCATAACCCTGTAACAACTCTTCCTTTGAACTGCTGTCCCACAGATTAAGTAGACAAAATCCACTTCAAGTAAAATATGTGAAACTCTATATGCAATATAAAAATTATTTTATCCCATCAAAATATGTCATTCGGGAATATCGATTATTTTAAAAGTATTTTTAAATATGTTTTTATTGACTTTAGAGAGAGAGGAAGAGAGAGGGAGAGAGGGAGAGAAACATGGGTTGGATCCTTGGGGATATACCCTGACTGGGAATCAAACTGGCCATCTTTCCATACATGGGATGGCACTCAATCAAACCACACTGGCCAGAGTGGGATATTGATTATTTTAAGTTGATTCTTTTTAAGAAAGGAAGCATTCAGGAAGAACCTTAGACCTTCTCCCTCGCTGCCTAAAACAGTTCAGGTAGAGGGCCAGTTCCAGAGAAGGAGCTGTTGCCCTAGGTCACTCTAATATAATACGAACTAGGTGTGGTTCGGAGACTCAGCAGAGCATCAAGATCAAAGTTGATTCTGTTTCCTCTCGTCTCTGCATGGCCTAGCAAACATTTCTTCCTTTGTTTACTGAACTTTTGCTTTTCCAACTCCTTGTGAATTGCCTTCCTACCCTTTGAAGTCCTAGACTCATAGTCCTTCTCCTTCGTTCAGAAAGACACATAAGCCTCAATTGCCCACTTTGACTCTGGGCCCCACATTCTTTTTTTTTATTATTATTATTTATTTTTTATTTTTTTATTTTTTATATTTTATTGATTTTTTACAGAGAGAAAGAGAGAGGAATAGAGAGTTAGAAACACCGATGAGAGAGAATCATCGATCAGCTGCCTCTTGCACCGCCCCCACACTGGGGATGTGCCCGCAACCAAGGTACCTGCCCTTGACCGGAATCGAACCCAGGACCTTTCAGTCCGCAGACCGATGCTCTACCACTGAGCCAAACCGGTTTCGGCTGGGCCTCACATTCTTATAGAAACCCCTCCACCCTCTATGTATGTAATTGAATTTGGTTATTTTCTCCTATTAACCTAGCTCACACCAGTTTAATTCTTATTCCAGCTAGAACTTAAAAGTGTAGAAGAAAATGTTTTCCTCCCCAACACTAAGAAACATGGATTTATTATCAAATGAAAGTGAAAATGTATTAAATGCATTTGGCTGAATTCTGCACCATGTGATTTAGGTGTGATGCCCCCTAAAGTTGATTGGGTTTGTGATTTTATCTCAACATACTTATAAAGAACAAATTGCCAACCTTATATATTTTCTCTTGGAGTAACGTATGATGTAGTTCACTGTGGCAAGACAAATAATTAACTTGTAATTTGGGAACAGTTTATTTGTGCAACATTTTAATGATCATATATCTCTATCCCCCAAATTAATCTGTTACTGGGTTAAATCACTTCAAGTTCTTTCTTTCACAATCTGTCAGAGTAATTGCTGCTCCAGTTTTAATCACAGAGCAGTAAATCCAGATTCACTTTGAGGCAGCTGTTTATAAGTCCCTGGCTATACATAATTGCATAGAGAAATTGAAGTCATTCTGATATCAACAATAGTTTACCTATGACATTAACTTCAAGTACTTAAAAAGTATTCACATTGTATGTGTACCTTTTTCAAGTAGTTTGCCTCTGTAGACACAAAGGTTTTCTCCACCACAGTGCTGTTGACAAACTTTTATTTCATCTCGGAAGTCTGGGTAATCAAAACGTAAGTGGGTAGTCTTCCCTAAATAGATCATTGTAATGACTGCATTACTATGCAGTGGTGTTTTATTAATCCTTCTTGAATCCTAGAATAAATAAAAAAGGGGGTTTGTTAACTACTTAACCTCTAACAGAGTGCAATGGCATTGTAATATAAAGAATAGAAAAGTCTATTTTTAGGTACCCAGCAACAAAACCTTTATAAAATGTCAATCTTCACAAGGGCTCAAAAAGTGAAGCCCATTACATCTCTCTAGCAGTTATAACATATACATTTTAGCTTTGTATTTTTAATTAAATGCTAAGATTTATGCAAAATTTGTCACCTTTATTTTAGGTGCACGCGTATGTGTGTGTTTTACATATAACCATAATGTCAAGGATGATAATGGGAAACTGCTCGTTGCTCTTTGAGCTGGTTCTCAAAAAAATAAAGAAAAAACAACAACAACAAATCAAATTAATTAAATTTTGGTGATATAATTTTGTTCTATTTTGAACTGACTTAACAATTGTGATTGTGATTTAACAATTGGTTTTATAATTGAGCGCTTAACAATCCAGCAATGACACCTGAGTTTATTCTGATGCTCACATTTTAATCCTTCTGTGGTCACTCGGAGGATTACGATAATGTATGTTATGTGCCTGGGATTATCCAGTTTCACAGGAGGCATTTAATTAAATGACAATCAACATTATTAATATTATTTTAAATATCAAATATACCCAACAACAAGAGACCACCTCATAAACATCATATCTGATATTCTCTGTCCTTGACCAATTTGAATAATTTATAAGATAAAACAACTTAAATGCTAGAAGTTAAAAGAAATGTCCTATTTCTTAACTTCCCTATATATTCTAAAGTATTTTTTATAATAGTGAATTACCATAGTGTTTGCCTAATCTGCAAGAGGAAGATGAGGAAAGACAATTATAAAGAGGAAGAAGAGAAATAGGAATGGCTCACTGAAAGACTTTAAAAGGACATAGAATATTTTGGGCTTCTGGCATCCCACAGAGACCAAACATTACTTTAAACCTACTTCATTTTTCTAAAAATCAATTCTTAGCTAAGTGGAAAATGTGACGAGACCAACTTTTAATGAATCCATGGCAATTATTTGAGTTTGATTTCATTGAATTACGGATGCCTTAGAAGCATGCTTTTAGCAAAGCTGCAACAAAAATTTCTGAAGTCACTACTAGAATAGTTCCATCCTCAAACCCATCCCCTTCTACCTCAAAGGACTTTTCTACTTCAATTCTATTTCTCTGAAGCAAAAACCAGAGGAAGCGAATCTGATAAATGGAATTCTATAAATAATAGTGTGAAAAGTATAGAGTGGGGCTGTGAGGTTTAAAATTTAAGCAACTTGTCTTGCCTGTGGACACACAGAACTTCCCAACAGAAATATTTCAGGAACATCAAGCGCCATGAAGGTAAACGGAAACAAGTCCCTGAGTCACAGTCAAAAGCAAAGGGATGATAGCAGGGCTAGCTCCTCATTGCAAAATGATGGCACGTGTCCTCTTGCCTGAGCGTATGGAGTGTGACATCCATGTGTGCAGCCCAACGAAAAACCACCAGCCTAAGGAAAATCCGGCTCCAAGCTCCCACTGGAACATTTCATGGCATGGCGGATGAAATAAGAGCATCCCCCTTTTGTTAAGCAATACTTTCTAGAGGGACATGGCTTCAGAGGCTGCCCTGTGAGCCTCTGGTAGATGAGCACTATATAAATACAAGGTAAGAGTGGGATTGGAGTGAGGCAAAGCCTGCCTCTGTATGCAAAATGAGAACTAGAAGAACATTTAAAATAAAACAACATCTCTTCACCCTTTTCATTTACTTTTATTCATATTCTTTTCTCTGCTAAAATGTATTCCTGATAGTAACATCTTTTTTTCCCCTCTGGGTCTAGTTGCTTGATTCCTTTAAAAAAAAAAAAATCCCCAATTATTGTCACCAAATAACCTTTTTGGGTTCTAATGAGAGGCCCAAATGACAGCTCATGATTAAATATGTGTGCAAGGAAACAATTGTTTCTTTCAGTTGACTAAATTGCCTCTGTACTTACTGTCTTCCAAGGTTAGAATGACCGCAGACTGATGAAATTTTGACAAGCTTTCGTGGCCCTCTCTGCTATCCTCAAGCAAGACACAAAACCCTCCATCCCTAGCTAATTTTGCTCAGTGGTTAGAGTGTTGGACTTCAGACTGAAGGGTGGCAGGTTTGATTTTGGTCAAGGGCATGTACCTCAGTTACAGGCTTGATTCCCAGCCCTGATCAGGGCTCATTGGGAGGCAAACAGTCCAATTCACATTGACGTTTATCTCTGTATTTTTCTCCCTCTCCCTTCCACCCCTTTCACTCTCTTTAAAATACATGGGGGAGGAGAGAGGGAAGAAATATCATCAAGTGAGGATTAACAACAACAACAAAAATGTCCATAAAAATTCAGCTCCACATTAAGAAGAGCAGCAAGGTCTCATGGCCCTGAACAGCTAAGCATTATCTTTCTGACTTCCTCTTCAGTTGCTTATGATTTTCCTTCTCATTTCTTTTCTGAAATCTCAGGCAATTACAATCTGTGCTGGCAAACAGCAAGACCCTTGAATGGTTAAGGAGTTAGCCTTTATGTATTTGTAATATTTAGCACTTAATCTCCAAATCCCCACTGGGATCTCCTGAATCTCTGCCCAGGCCTGTGTGGGGTGGATATAAAAGATTTCTATAGATGTCAAAGAGCCTGTACTTGTTGGCAGTGTTGGGCAGCAATTCCTTTCCAGCCACTTAGCCAAGCCCTGATGAACTCTGGACACCCTAAAATCTCACCTGGACCACCGCAATAAACTTCTAGTTAGTAGGGTGACCATAAAATGTATTTATTTATTTATTTATTTATTTATTTATTTATTTATTTAAAATATATTTTTATCTGTTTTATCTTCTTATTATCTTTTAATTGTCACCCAAGGATATTTTTCCATTGACTTTTAGAGAGAATGGAAGAGAGAAGGAAAGACAGAGAAACATCGATGTGAGAGAAACACATCGATTGGTTGCTTCTTGCACGCACCCTCACAAGGAATCAAGCAGGGGAGGAGCCCTTGACTGGAATCAAACCTGGGACCCTTCAGTCCACAGGCCGACATTCTATCCACTGAGCCAAACTGGCTAGGGCACTGTAGAATTTATAATCCAATCTAGGACACATGCTAGAAAAAAAATGAGCATTAATTTGAATTGTTCCAGGAAGACTCTATCTGGCTCTCAAACTCCAGGCCAATATTCCCCAACCCTAATCACCCGGGATCAGGTACCAGACAACTCAAGACAACCCTTAGAGCTCAGAGTCTGCCAAAGGTATTCATACTACCCAATCCTAAGGCTGCTTACCCTGCCATCTGGTTCCATTCCTTAGAAACATAACCAAGGCTCTTGCCTATATATTCCTCACACTCCCTCAGCCTCCCAGCTGACCCTGGTGCTGTCCTCTGTTGCCCTGTGTGACATGGTGTGATGGTTACCTTTGTCACCTTAGCTGGGCCACGATGCCCAGATATGTAGTCAAATGTTCTGGACAGAACCCTAACTAATCCATGGCATGCCCCCTCCTCTTTGGGACTCAAGTGACAACTTGTCTCTTCAAAAGCAATTATTTCCTGATCTATGGATCTCAATATACCGGAATCATGATAAAACCTACATTTTAAAACAGCCAAGCAAAAAAAAGATATACTTGCTCTCATTAAGGAAGAGAAGTAATGAGGGGTGTAAGCAGGAGAGAAGCATACTGAGAGGCACTTCACAGAGTTGACGTTAACATCATTATGTAGAATCTGCTAATACTGAGATGGACTTCCCTTACTTTTTCCCCTTTCTGCTTTTTCACACGCTGCTCCCTCGTTCTATATGCTAGCTTCCTACTCATCTTTCAAAGCCCATTCCAAATGCCACCTTCTTTCTGAAGCACTCTCCAATCTCCTCATTCAGAATGACTATTTCCTTCCTCTGTGTTCCCATTGTGCTTTATTTATACTGCTGTGCTTGTTCTCATCACAATGTATCATGGTTAATTGCAGATATTTCTGTCTCTCTTGCTAAACTGCAATGTTTCCAAGAACAAGGATTTGATCTTATTTATGTTGGTAGCCTCGGCACCTAGTATAGGACTTGTCATTATCAATAAAAGCTAAATTGAGCTATTTGTTGATTTAGAGCCAGGATATAAGTATGTTGATGATTGCAATAGCCTGGTTAAGAGTTAGGTAGCCAGCATCTGAACTGAAGACACAGTAGTGAGGATGAAAAAGGATTACCAGATATATGAGCCATTGCTAAGGTGTAGAGCTACGCTGTCTGAGATGCCATATTTGGTTGCTGGGCTCTTGAAAGGTAGTTTATTCAAATGAGAAGTTCTGTAAGTATTAAAAAACTTATTGAATTTAAAGACAAGGTATTTTAAAAATGCACAAATCAGTTCTTGCCAGGAGAAGTTCTTTGCCCTCTTTTTCACAAATCATATAAAATTTTAAAAAGACTTTTTTAAATTGATAAAGATGATGATTAAACAGGTCTTATCTGAAAGCCTGTATTTTCACACAAACACTATTGATTTGACCATCCATCTCTTCAGTAGTCTGCTATATAGTGTAGGTGAACCAGCAATCCTGAGTGAGAACACAAGAATCTTCAAAAGGGTGAAAGAAGCCTCAAAGGAAATTCTAACTAGTCTCATAGATTCTGTAAAAGCAAGTTCTAAAACAAAGCAACAGGACATAGAAGCAAGGCTGTTTTAAAATGTAGGTTTTATTGTGCTGTGAGATCTCCTACACCTCATCGATTGGCTCCATGCATCAGCCCCTAGGGACACAGATCACAGAATCCAGGGACCATGTTCTACACATTCATAGAGGAACCAATGATTGGCCACCAGAAAGCTGTGTTTCTTTGCCTTCTACCTCTTTTTTTCCTTTTTAAAGGATACTTTCCCTTTAAAGAACATTTAAAGGATGCTTGAGTCCCAGTCAGAGTGGTTCAGTGGTTGACTGTTGATCTATGAATCATAAGGTC